TGAGTGAGGGCTACCTTCTACATATTGAGGGAAAAGCCACTGGAGCTTGTGTAGTGAAGTGGGTGTGCCATTCTCCTAGACTTGGATAGGCGAAAGGGGTGAGACACAGGGTTGGGGGAAAGAATAAGTTTCTTGAAGATTCATATTAATGTCCTGACATTTGTGACAAGAGGGAGCACCAAATATACTGGCTGGCAGGAGTTACAGAATAGACATTAAATAAGAAACAAGAAGGTAATGGAAATGAGCATCTTGTAGGGAGTTAGGAGTCTGAAAATTTAGGAGGGATGGGGACACCATGAATGCAGAAGATGAGCCTAGGGAATGTGGTATTTAAGCCAGGAAATTAGTTGAAGTCCAGGGTAGTCAGACTAGAACAGGGCTTGGCATGGAGCCTCAAGAAAGTGGGGAATGCAGGGCAGGCTTGAGGTTGAGGACCAAATTGAGGGCCAGAGATGTCCATCGTCCAGCTCCAACCCTGGAGAGATGTGTGCATTTGGCTCTCAAAGCAGTTTCCCCATGTTCTGGGAGAGCCATGAAAGGCCAATCTCACCCCTAGACACCAAGATGTGCTTCAACTGAGTAAACATGTTAGCCATGTCCCCGGGGATTTGTGTGTCAGTGAGTAAGTCTGACTAGGTGCCTGGGTACAGGCAAGGAAATGGCTGAGGGTATGTGTCTGTTTGGGAGAAGAAATTGAGGGATGGCATGAACTTGGAATGTGTGGAGCATTTTCCTTCTGTTTTGACTAGTGAGAGTAACTTTCTGTGATTCCACAGGTAAGAGCTCTGTGGTAGGTCACAGGGATGGAGCTGTAGGTACCCACTTGTCCTTGTCTAATCAAGGATGTGTCACTTCCATCTATGATGGATGCTTCTCTCCCCACCTGACCTTCTGTTGGTGGGTGTGATAGAACCCAGATCATGATGATCAGTTCTGGCTACTGGGTCACCTTACAGCCCATGTTCAGACTCTGTGTCTCTCCTGAGGCCTAGAAGCTGGTCATTTGCTGTTGTTCTATTGCCTTAGAATAGAACCAAACCATAGGAATGTGCATTTCATTCTCTATGAGATATTACAAGAGGCTTAACAAAGCACCTTTCATTCTCCTAACATCGATTAGATGAAGGTACAAGCACAGAAATTTCTCCTTTTCTCTGGAGGGTACCATCCAGCATGGCCCAGATTATTGGAGCCATGAAAGCCTCATAGATGTGTCAGACCCCTGAATGGTCAGAGTCGTGGATGTCCTTACAGCTCATACTTTGCTTAAACTGCTGATCATTAGAACTGACCCTGACACTGTTGTCACTGTCATCACTGATGTCATTGTCATAGAGCATCAACAGCAGCAGGCATCCACTTCCACCCTTCAGAGCACACGTGTCTTACTAAGGCACTTAGTAATCTTATCGTTTTGTTCATCTTTAGTGGGAGAGTCTCTAGTTCTCACATTGAGGATGACTGTAGGTCTCTAGGTATTTTATGACTTAAATATGGGATGAAATTAACTTAGAGGATGAACACATCCATTTGCACTGCTAGGGAGGGCCAACTTCATTGGTTCCCAATCTATGAATTCACTTAGAAGGGCCTGCAGTAGGTTTAATACTTTGCTTTTGCCATTTTGAAATCATTTTTTTCTTTATTATTTAAGCTATTATATATGTGTCCTTACCCACCATTGTTGAAATTCTTAATGACACTCACTTTACTTTCTTACAACCCTAGCAGAGACCCCAGGCTGGAAAAAATGGTTTGAGCCTGGCTTTTTGGATGAGTGTCCATCTATGAACCATGAATTCATGGTTCCATTCCCACTCAAGGCACATTCTCAGGTTGCAGACTCTATCCCCAGTGTGAGGCATGCAGGAGGAAGTCAATGATTCTCTGTCATCATTGATGTTTCTGTCTTTCTCTACCTCTCTCTTCCTCTCTGAAATCAATTTAAAAAAAATTAAGAAAAAAAGGTTTGGCCCTATTTGGGAGGTGCAAGTTGTAATGTGGCCACCAGAGGGCGGCATCACAACAAAGTAACCTAAAGGAGCTGAGAAGGAATGTGAAGGGGTTTTGTCTTTCTCTACTCTAATGAGCAGGACCACTCCTCTTTCAACCCTGTAGCTTGAAGAGGAAGGTTCTCCATCTATAATGTACTCAGAGATTTGAATTTAAAGAAATCACAGAAAGTTGGCTTAAATGTGAATAGGATTAAATAGATACAATAAATTCTACACTAAATACTCTTATTCAGGAAAGTAAAGAAGATTGTTTTGTTTCCTCAGGGTCCTTGAGATATCATATGAATTAAGAATGATATTTTCATTTGTTTAAAAATGCCTTTGGGCGCATGCAGAGAGGGCTGGCGGCTGAGGACATGGTTGACTTTTTCAATCAGGAGGGATTTTCAAGCTCCTGACTGCTCTGAACTCCAGTTCTGGGCGAGTCTCTGGGGGCCTAACTCATATGGGAGAAAGTGGAGTGTCTGGCAGTGGTCAGAACTTGAGGACAGCTTTCTCTCGGAGGTGCTTGCAGTGATTGCTGGGACACTGAGAAGCGGGGCCTCTGAGGGCAGGACTGAGAGCAGCCATAACTGCTTGCTCTGCCCTATTCATCCCCTGGTACCCTGCCCTGCCCAAGCTGTGCATGGAGGCTTTTGCATATGAAAGGCCTGGCCCTTTGCAATCTGATAATTACCTAACAAACTGCAGCTGGCCTAAGGTCCCATAGCAACTTGCATTGCTTCACAGCTGGCTCCTGCTGGATAGCCTCAGGCACAGGCTAGATTAGCACCTCCTTAGAGATCCAAGAGCCAGTGATCCCAGTGGTCAGAGTGGGACCATCCAGATTGCAGCTGCTTGGATCCATAAAGGACACACTCAGGGGGCAGAATCAGTGAGCACCAAAGCCCCATTGAAGCAAGTCTTGCCCTGGAGGGGTGTCTCCAGCACAGAAGATCTCCCATTGCAGACACAGCTGATTCTAACAGCCAATTGGCCTGGAGGTCAATCCCTCCCAGTGTTACCTCCAACAATCAAGGCTTAACTACAACAAGACTGTGCACAAAGCCCACAAGGGGGTGCACCAAGTGTGTCTACCTCAGGTAATTGTGGAGACTGAGCCACAGGGCCCTATAGGACACCTAGCACAGAAAGGCACTCTATTGATACAGCAAAGCATAAAAAAAATGTGGAGACAAAGAAACAGGGAACAAATGACAGAAATGGAGGAAAGCAAACTACTGGATATAGGGTTCAAAACCACACTTTTAAGGTTTTTCAAGAATTTTCTAGAAACAGCCGATAAACTTAATGAGACCCTCAAGAAATCTAGTGAGACCCTTGAGGTTGTGATAAAGGACCAACTAGAAATTCAGCATACACTGACTGAAATAAAAAATATTATACAGACTTCCAACAACAGGCTAGAGGATCACAAGAACGAAGTCTAAGATTTGAAATACGAAGAAGCAAAAAACACCCAACCAGAAAGGAAAATGAAAAAAGAATCCAAAAATAAGAAGATAATGTAAGGAACCACTGGGGCAGCTTCAAGCGTACCAACATCTGAATTATAGGGGTGCCAGAAGAAGAGACAGAGCAAGATATTGAAAACCTATTTGAAGAAATAATGACAGAAAACTTGTTCTACCTGGTGAAAGAAATAGACTTACAAGTCCAGGAAGCACAGAGAACCCCAAACAAAAGGAATCCAAACAGGACCACACCAAGACACATCATAATTACAATGCCAAGAGCAAAATACAAAGAGAGAATCTTAAAAGCAGCAAGAGAAAGACAGTCAGTTAACTACAAGGTAGTGCCCTTACGATTGTTAGCTGAATTCTCAACAGAAACTATGCAGGCAGAAGGGAGTGGCAAGAAATATTCTAAGTGATGAATGCCAAGAACCTACAACCAAGATTACTTTATCCAGAAAGCTATCATTCAGAATTGAAGGTCAGATAAAGAGCTTCACAGATAAGGAAAAATAAAGGAGTTCATCACCACCAAACCAGTATTATATGAAATGCTGAAAGTTATCCTTTCAGAAGAGGAAGAAGAAGAAAAAGGTAAAGATACAAATTATGAACAACAAATACACATCTATCAACAAGTAAATCTAAAAATCAAGTGAATAAATAATCTGATGAACAGAATAAACTGGTTATTATAATAGAATCAGGGGCATAGATAGGGAGTGGACTGACTATTCTTGGGGGGGAGGGTGTGGGGGATGCAGGAAGAGCCTGGAAAAAAATCGTGCACC